ATTGCAGCCTTGGTGAAAAAACTTCTTAAAAAAAAAAAAAAAAAATGTTATTACAAAATCATAATATTCCAAACCTTTTGGACCATTAGTGTGTATATACTTTGTGAATGTACAGTTGAAAGAAGTGTAATTGTGTTTTAGGGTTGATGTGGATACTGTCGATGGCTTTCAGGGCAGAGAAATGGACTGCATCATTGTGTCTTGCGTGAGAGCCAGCAGTGAAAAGGGTTCCATTGGGTAAGCGTGCATAGTCTGTGTCATTCAACTTAAATATTCATGTTGTTGGTTCAAATATTGCGTTCCTTTCTTTTTAAGGTTTGTTGGAAATCGGCAGAGAATGAACGTAACCATTACCAGAGCCAGATTTAGTCTCTTCATATTGGGACATCTACGCACCCTCAGGGTAACATGCATGCAGTATTTATACATTCATTTCTCGACCCACCACAAGAGGTGCTGTTGTGTACTTCTGACAGCTTTTAATGACGTTTTAATGTGTTTCTGCAGGAACAAAGTGATTGGGGAGCTTTGTTTGAGGACGCTAGGAGACGTAAAACTATAATCAAAACCATGCAAAACGATTTTGAAAGCGACGCCAGGCAGATTCTTAAACGAGAACCGCCGGCCCGCAGTCTTTCTTATCCCCCAATCAGGAGACCAAGCACTGTGACCACACCTATTATACATGCACCTGTGGAAACAGGCCCCGCCCCCACGCCCCACCCCCAGCGTGACACGAGCAACATGTCTATGCCGCGGCTAATACCTTTGGAATATCCTAATAACCCACGGATGAATGACAGGCCCACAGACCCACGGTTTGCAGAGCGGCGGCCAATCGGAGAACAGAGACCGGACAGAGATGGGCGGGGCTTACCAAGGTCACGCCACTCAACAAACAGAGCTAATTCATGTGACGCTGACTCTAGAAGTACTGGCCGGTGTTCCAGATACTCTTCAAAACACCGCGGTTCTTCACCTTCGAGACGACACAGGAGATAAATTAATTATCCCTGTTTTTATTTGTCATTAAAGCTTCACAGCAATGTATTAAGAGAGAGATTATTCTTCCTCATGTCCTCTTCTCCGTGTTTTGAGAACCCACTATGCACAAGGGTCGTTGTTAAACTCCTCTTTCTCAGACAATGGCTTAACGGTTAGCTTGACAAATTAGTTTGATGGCAGTGCTTTGTTCCCCTAATCTTGGACTCTTTCTAACTGTTTTTTGCTGCAAAATTAATATTAAATATCTATTTTATGCATGAAGAGGGATGTTTTGTGTACAACAGATTTTGGTTGTTTGGACCTTGTGCTTGTCTCCAGAAAATATATATTAATGCAATAACTACACTTTCTTGAGCAGTCGGACTTGCTCTGAAGTAACCATTTTTTTGGGGGGTTTGGGTCTGTATAGTTTGTCACTTATTTGAATGTAACATTGATTTAAAGGTTTTTGCAGGAATGGATTCGGTCTGTAAATGTGTTGTGCATGAATGCAGTGCCGTTTGTGTTTCATTGGTTGTTTTATACTGACTTTTAACATTCTGGATTATTGGAAAACATACTGGATTATTTTTGATTGAGCTGACTGTTAGAATGTATTTTATTTTTTGGAAGTAGGCTAACTTTGATTATTGTCACTATTATTCTGGAGGAGGAGAAGGCCAAGAACAGAACCATTATTGCTCAACATTTTAATTTCAAATATAAAATGCCATGTTGCATTTAAGTTGTGAATGAAAGTTAAGTTTGAAATTGTACGGTAAAAGTATACAAGCCAGATACCTGGAGACTGAGAGATCGACTTGCTACTTTGGCTTTTTTTTTCTTTTTTTTTCTTGTGTGTGACCAGTTTTACAAAAGTGTATGAAGAGGACTTTCGTACAGCACTTGTACAGTTCTGTTTTATACAGATGCACTTTTTGTAGACCGGAATTAAAAAAACTTTTTTTTTTTTTTTTTTACACATTTTGGGTTTAATTTGTATCATAAGAATCACTGTGCCACTATTATTCTTGATAAACGGCAGTGATGTGACGTGAGTGATGCACTAAATCAAATAGTCCTTTATCCCCCACTGTTTAGAATTTATATAAGTACCTTGAAATGGGTGAATTATACTATGGTAAATGAATGCTAATCAGTCAAAACCATCGTCTCGACACACCACTGTGTCCCCATCTGTACTACACTGTACCACAACCATTAAGGCTCGTTATCTTTCTAACCAGTCATTTCTGACACTCTTTCCTTAAGAGCCATAGGGATCAATCACTCACCCCAATCTTTTAATATTTATTTTTAATATTTGCAATAAGCCCCTCGTGGCTACGGTTTTATTTTACTGTGGTCGAATGACTACTCAAATCTGTCATGTTCTCAAGTGGCTTATTCCTTTAGTGAAATGATGAGGACAACACACAAACACAAAAGATAAATGTATTATTAGTATTACTAATCTGAAGGAACAGCTGTTTGGCCATGTAATATAAACATGAAATAATTGTATATTCAGTCAAAGAGTTCCAGGTGCCAAAAATTAAGACTTTTATAGATTTAAGGAGTATGTGTTGGTGTAATAATATGCAATAGGGAGTACATGTCTCAGTAATTAGTGAACTTGCGTAACTGTCTAAATTATTGTGCTGTTTAACAACATACCGATTGCTGAAAAAAACGTTCAGTGGACAAAAACTCCATAAAAAGTTGTTTGGCAAAAATTACATGATTTAGGTCCTTTATATCGTGAGTGCACATTGAAAAGACTGTTAAGTTTATCCCTAACATTCCCGTAAAATTAAATATGGCGTCTAACCCCTCCCGCTCTTCCACCACGCCACCGTTTTCCCGCGCAAATCTCGCGCCCTGCTGGGGAGTGGAATCAACGGCTCCCTGACCTGCCTACGTTTACATGCACAATTTTTGGTTCAGTCATACTGAATTCATTCCGATTGATGAATCTGAATGTAGTGGAGGTTGTCCTGCTCCACTTCACAGTTCCCGAGTGAAAGGAGAGTTTTATAATGACAGGACACGCATTTATACAACACTTTATTCAAAAGGAAGCGCTATGGAAGGCCGTTAGCGCCAAAACGTGTGGTACTAGCGTGTTAACACGAGATTGCGCGTTAACACATAATTACGCGTTAACACGTAATTAACCGGTTAACGCGTCATTTTGTGCTGGTATTGAGCTTTAGCACCCACCATCTACTGGTGTTTTTTTTTATTAATTTTAATTTAATGTTTTTTTCAGGCATAAGTAGGCTACAACTACATATAATAGTTATAGCACAACTAGTATTTTAAAGTATTTTAAATTATAACTGTTCAACCCCTGAAAGTCATGACCAATTTCACAATTACAATATAATTACACAAAATATTAATTACACATTTCTCCAAACAGTAACAGTTAACGCGTTAGTACCACACGTTTTGGCCGTAACGGCCTTCCATAAAGAGCCGCTGTTCTGCGCGTCATACGTCTTTACGCTATTTCTGCGTCATTGCACATGCGCAGACCTTTCCGTTTCGGGGTTCAATCCGATCGAGTGTTTACATTCACTTTTAATCGTATTAGAAAAGGAATAAACCACCCCCTTCAATCTCGATCGAGCTCAATCGGATCTATTAAGGTGTTTACATGAAGGCTTTGCAGTCCGATTGAGCCATCAATCCGATTACAAACGGATTATTTGGTTGTATGTAAACATAGCGACAGCAACGTAAATTCGCTCTAAACTGTGACACATTTTGTCACTGCTGTTAAATTAAACCACTATTAAAAAATCTCAATACAGCCAGCTTAATTTAGCCCTCTATTAATCTTAACAACAAGCAAGCTAGTCTGTCGCTGGCATAATTTAAGTGTCCCTTAAATTAAGCTATTTTCACGAATTTCAGCACAATTACAAGAGTGATATTAATTTTAAACAACAGTTAAAAAAACAGCAAGTTCATTATACTGACGATCAATAGACAAGTTGTACTTATTTTAATGACAGAGAGAATCGGCGCCGACAACATTGTACATTTTGACTCTTTTTGCTGTATATTTAGATCGCCAACGAAAATTTCAAGCAATGCATAACAGTCTATAAACATCGTCTTGAACGATTCAGCATTTTACAATGATTCAATAACCCAGTCGTAAAATTTTGTGTGTTTACTTGCTTCATTTATGAGTGAATCAGACGGTTTGAACGAATCGGTTAAATGAATGATTCTATGGTTCGCTTATTAGGAGGCTTTAGTTTATACTGGAGGTTTTAGTTTTGTTTTCCCCCAACATTTCATTATTCTATATTCAAAATGATCATTTTAAAACATTATTTATGCAATGTGTAACATTATTTATGCAATTGGAATTGCAGTGTAAATTGATTTTGATAACTGGTAAGGTGGATTTTCTTTAAATTCACATACACTTAGCTACATGAATTAAAGAATATATGATCATATCTGGTGTTTTAAGGAGAGGGAAGAAACCTGTTTTTAAATTAGTAGTAGTAAAATGTGCAGCGTCTGTTCCACCACTAGGGGGCGCAATGCTTCTAGATTTACACCGGTTTGCCTTGCCCCAGTTTTAGGTATATTATACACCCTAAATCAGGACTGTGCAGGTCCACATAATGTGTGGCCAAAAACCTCAGTAAAAAGCTTTACAGATTTGCACGGAAACACCTACCCAACATACAACTCAAATTCAACAGTCAGTTGGGTTCAATCTTATTAACCTGTGAAATGCAGTTGTATTTGTGTTGCTAGAAGGCTTTCTGGTGGAACCATGATAGAGAGAGGTGGTATTTTCTTACATTTACCTATATAGGAAATGAGTTTACTTTACATAGTGTATGCTATTATTTATGTGCTATTGTTTAAAATCATTATGTGTTTAAAAGGATAATTTATAATGTGACACCATGATAGAGAGAGGTGGTATTTTCTTACATTTACCTATATAGCAAATGAGTTTACTTTACATAGTGTATGCTATTATTTATGTGCTATTGTTTAAAATCATTATGTGTTTAAAATGATAATTTATAATGTGACTTACACTGTATACAATTCAGAAAGCACAAACCTCTAGATGAGCCACTCTCATTACCATGATCACCTATTATGACCTATTTGTAAGCACATCATGGTTATAATCATGTTTCTATCTAAAGGTGGTGAGAATGAAGCTTTGGACTCATAAAGACCCCTCTTGACGTATCCTCCCTGTGTGCGCTATTGATATTCTGAGGAAGGTAATCAATGCCCGCTGACTAAGGTAAAAGCTTGATCCTCTCAGGTGCAGGACACTTTGCTACTGTGACGTGACGCAGCATTTTTCTCTCGTCAGGAAGATGCCGGCTCAGCAAGGCCTGGAATCTTGCTTTTGTTGTAATTTTACATTATTGGAGCAGCATCCTGTTTGTTGTCTCACTGGCTCGGGTGTCATTTTCAGATATTTCATAAAGCCAGTGACCGCATAGACCAAAGTAAATATAAAACTCTCTCTGGGTTATATAAAAGCCAGTAGAAGATATGATTGGGTCACTCATACCATGCTCTCTTAATATAGTGGATGAAATAACTAAATTCTTAAAGACAGAAATCATATTAGGTAGCTTTTATAGTCACAATATTATTACTGAAATGAATTTTAATTCATTTTATCTGTTGATTTAAGTGCATGTTGCAATTTTTATCATTGTCAATTAATTAAGAAATATTCCAGGTGTTTCTCCAGATTCTTCTGTGTTTTTTGTGGTATTATTAGCTGGTTTGTCTCACTTTAAAACACTGTTTGATGAAGTCACTGAAATCCGTAGGACAATATCAAAACATAAAATAAAATGAAACAATAAAGTAAAATGAACTAATAGAAATAAGAACACAGTTACAACGTCTTGTAAGTTACGCTCTTTATTTCCATCCTGTTATTTTGCCATTACTGTCCTTTTTTGCCTGAAAGTCCTTTATTCCCTTTTATAGTAATATTTCTTTAATTACAACACAAACATGTTTTTTTTAAAGTTCAAAAGGACTGAGTTTTAGAATTCATATAAATTGGCTATGCTTAATTTATGTTTTTAAAATTATTGTCAGGAAAAAAGTTATTGTTATGAAATGTGATGAAGAAGAAATTATCCACACAGAAACAACTGAAACGTGGCCAAGTAACAGTCACATTTACTGTAAGTTTTACAGTGTCATAAAATTTCATTCAGTTTTTTTTTAGTTTTGTAAATCTGTTAACCATAAAGTGTAATAATCCCCATCCCATACATTTCAGTAGAGTTTGCCATCTAATAAATTCTGCTTGGTACATTAAGTGTTTAAATTCATCCTCGGTAATACCTGACAATGTAAACCATACCTTATAGATTCTCATACATGTGCTGTAAAGTTTACAGTGTAATAAAACTTCTGCCTCTTATGTAGATCCAAAACAAAAATATTCTCTACCAAAAATAGTCAAATAATGTGGATTTATAATAATTCCATTTGATTAGATATCTTCTCTTGCGAGTTGGATAGCGTGTTCGTGTCCTGAATACTTCGTAAATATCAATGATCTCTAACTGTGGCGACAAACATTCCTATAACAACCAGCGGTACAGTGCCTAAAATCTTAATAGTCATGATATAACACAATAATATCATACTCTTTGCTTTTTAGCGAATAGCAGTGAGTGCTCGTTACATACATCTGAATGTTAAAAACTGCAGCAAGGGAGTGTAAAAAAAAACATGAAGCTGGACCTTTCCAGAAAACATCGTACAGTCGCCGATCACTGTGAGGACACGCCCCCTACGCTGACCAATCAGAGTGAAGGAAGTGCGGTTTGTATTACATTTCGCAGCTATTGCGCAAGAAGCTCACTTCTTGTTGATTGTGTGTGTGTAGTGTGTGTGTTTTTGGTATTATTCGTCCTCAGCGTATATGTGAGGCGCACATTTTGAGTTCCGTTGATTTCCAGCTCTACGAGAGTCTTTGTTTCTCGTTCTTGTTGTCCTGCAGGGCGTTCTGCACCCTGTAGAGGGCAAAGCTGAGCATCTGGCCCTCTCGGTGCCCGCTGGTGGGGAAGCAGGGGTCTCTCAGGAGGCGGCGGAGCCCAGCAGGGTGGCGAGGAGCGGGCAGAGCAGAAGTGCCAGGCTCAGCGTGAGTGCGCTGGCACCGTTGCACTTTTTGCCTCCGTCGCAGCGCGACTGTTGGCACAAAACACCCTTAAAGTCCAGCGTACAGCTACAGCGCTGATTCTGAACGCACGTCCCCCCGTTCTGACACAAGAGTAACTCATCGTCACACACGTTTGCTGTGGAGAGCATGAGGAAAAAGTTATGTACAAGTTATGTTCAAGCAAATACACCCTGTTTTTCTTAGACTAGTTTGGAATAATTAAGATTTTTTTTTTATTCCATGCATTTATTTGATCAAAAATACAGTAATATTGTGAAATATTATTACAATTTAAAAGAAACATTTTCTATTTGAATATATTTTAAAATGTAATTTATTATTTCTTAGCCTTCAGTGTCGCACGATCCTTCAGAAATCATTCTAATATGCTGTTTTGCTGCTCAAGAAACATTTCTGATTATCAAAACATTTGTGCTGCTTCATATTTTTGTGGAAACCATGATACAATATTATTCAAAAGATTTAGGTAATATCTGTTTTATACAGTCTATGGGTAATATGTAAAAAAAAGAAAGAAAGAAATTAATAATTTTATTCAGTGAGAACGCATTAAATTGATCAAAAGTCACAATAAAGACATTTATAATGTTATAAAAGATTTCTATTTCCAATCAATGAACTTTCTATTCATCAAAGAGTCCTGAAACAAAATGTAATACAGTTTCCACAAAAATATGAAGCAGCACAACTGTTGATAATAATCAGAAATGTTTCTTGAGCAGGATTTCTGAAGATCATGTGACACTGAAGACTGGAGTAATGATGCTGAAAATTCAGCTTCACATCACAGCAATAAATTACATTTTACAATAGAAAACAATTATTTTAAATTGTAAAAAAAAATATTTCACAACATTACTGTTTTTATCCTGGTGACGATAAGAGACTTCTTTCAAAAACATCAAAGAATATAAATTTTTCTTTTGGCCGGTAGTGTGTGTGTGTGTGTGTGTGTGTCTTACTCACTTAGCCATGATCATTTGCTTGGTGGCTTGTATCTGTGTCATATTTAACATGGGCGTCTGGTGTCATTAAAAAGCCACATTGGGTCGCAGGAGTCTGGGTACTAATGAGACCAGGTGCTGTACACCTGACCCCAAACTGTCTCAGCAGTGAACAATGAGTGTGTGTGTGTGTGTGTGTGTGTGTGTGTGTGTGTGAGAGAAAGGACAGAAAATGATAAAGAGGAGGATGACTATGGCTAAGTTCAGAATACCATATACTTTTTCTGTTTCTGCAGTATACACTATGCATAGAATACCTGGATGACCTACTACTACATTGTAATGAGCAGTGTATCCCGCAATACAACATGCTCTACTTGACCTTCCATTTCCAGTGACAAATTAATGGTAAGTAATATCAGTCACAGTATTTATCTTTTTTTTTGTCTCATTTTACATAGAATTAGGCTAAAAATGCAAAATAATAAAGATGATATGGAATTAATAATATATGTGACAACAATGTAGCATATAGAGTGCAGTAGTCGGGTTAAGTAAAACTTCCATTCATTTTCTCCAGAGGGGAAGTGATTTTTAACAATAACTTATAAACCTTTCAAAACAGACCTACTGTGAGCTGCAAAGTTGTTAACGATGGTATATAATTTTGTTGAAGCCATCAGCTACATTATTTCAACTTATTTTTAAAATAATTGTTTAACAGTGGAATTCCTAGTGAAAAACTACATTACCCATGATTCTGCTATTAAATCTCCACCAATCGGAGAGCTGCAACAAGCAAATTGTGCAAAAATAATACTTAGCGGCAGCACCCATCCACTCCAATGAAATTACTTATACTGCACATAATTAATTAAGCTTTAAGTATGCCATTCTGAACATAACCTATAAAAAGACTGTGTATGTGAAGGGTTAAATTGTCAAAAAAAAAAATTTTTGCAAAACTGAAAAGGTCATGAGATTTTAATACAAAAAGTTCTAAAAGACATAGCCCAAACCATGTAAAAACTTACTCCGTTAACCAAACAGTTCATTCTCTGCATTTACTAGAACCAGTAAATACTCGTTGCATGCAGATCCACTTAACCTAAGAACAAAACAAATCTATTTGAAGAAAGTGCCTAATCCAGCTCCGGAAGTGTGTCCCTGATGGATTCTCCTCTGTTTTCTCTCCTCACAGTGCTAGCAGTTTTGGCCATGGGCCTGTTTCATCTTAAAGATGGATCACGGGGAAAAAGCTGTGTGCAGGGCTTCTAACATCACCATGGGAATCCAGGTACAAATGTGATCATTACCCCACAAACCAGTTTCCAATGAACAAGGGCTGTTTAGAATCCGCACGGCAGCACATCATTTGAATACACAAATAGCCAAACCCATTAGACACCAGTAATATGCTGATTTGATGTGCAGTAAATGTCTAATACATCGTGATATGGGGTTAGACTCCTGTCAAATCAAATGAATCCCGCCCTCTTTATTTTGAGACCTCACCCCTTTTTCGTGCCAAACAACTTGGAACCAATTCCAGTGTTTGAATCAAAAGCCGTACAATTTAAAAAAAAAAAGTAAAACGGTCACTAGTAGCCCAGTGGCAAAATGTGCCATTGCTGGTAGAAATGGTGTATCTACACATTTTAAGGAATCACAATAATCCACAAAATGGATTTGTTTCTTACAAACACGAAGCTTTTCACTTCACAAGACATTAACTGATGGACTGGAGTGGTGTGGATTACTTGTGGATTATTGTGATGTTTTTATCAGCTGTTTGGACTCTCATTCTGACGGCACCCATTCACTGGAGAGGATCCATTGGTGAGCAAGTGATGCAATGCTACATTTCTCTAAATTCCCATGAAGAAACAAACTCATCTGTATCTCGGATGGCCTGAAGGTGAGCAAATTTTCATTTTTGGGTGAACTATTCCTTTAAAGCATCTTTCTCCTTTCTCTGTCATTCAGAATTAGAATTAATTCCACTGTGTAAAAACTTATGACTGCAAGCTAGAACTAGTAATAATATTATTTACACTGTAACTTATTTCAAATGGCTTTTGGAAACAAAAGCCTTGTAAAGGACTGAGCCAATTAATATCTTATTTAAACTCGAAATTGGCTGAGGAGAATGGAGAGGCGATTGCACACTTTGACATTGATTTGTTAATTAGATTAGAGAGTTGAATGATGTCTGATTAGGAATAGGTTAATAAATCTGGGAGGTACTTACGAAAACAACCCTGTTTCCAGTAGTAACCGGGGAGACATTCATCACATTTGACTCCGTTAGTGCCTTCTTTACACTGACAGAAACCGGTTCCATTACAGCGGTCGTGCAATGAGCCCATCGTATTACAGTTACACTCTGAAAAGAAAGAGAGAGAATTAGTTAGGGGAAAAGGGTTGAACTTTTACAAAATTATGTGTGCCAAAAAGGCTCAATGGGTTTCCTTGTTATTTAATTGGTTGGTTTTACTGTTGACAGTTCTGCATGCATTAAAGGGGTCATATGATGCGATTTCAATTTTTCCTTTCTCTTTGGAGTGTTACAAGCTGTTGGTGCATAAAGAAGATCTGTAAAGTTGCAAAGACTAAAGTTTCAAACCCAAAGAGATATTATTTATAAAAATTAAGTCAACCACGCCTAACTAAAACGGCTCGTTCTAACACGCTCCCACATGTCTACGTCACGATGTGGGAAGATTTGCATAACGCCGCCCAAATGTTCACG